TGTTGTTGCCCACTGTAGCGTGAAGCTGACCCACAGGCCAATCAATGCCTGGAACGAGGTTACCAGGGAGAGGACGGACGTTGAACTCATTTTAAAAAAGCAGCTCGATGCTGTGATGTGTGTGGTGGGGGTGGGGGTGGGGGGGGTGCAAGGCGGTGGGAGTGGGGGGGATCGGTGGGAGATGAAGTAGGCTGGGCGCTCTGGAAGGACGGACCTTGGGAAGCACTTCGAGACGTCCTCAATACATTGTGTTTGCTCACTGATTGGATTAAACGTCACTGATCGGATTTTGCCGACGTGGAGAAGATTTCTTGTTTGCGAGAGATTTGTTTGTTTGTTTGTTGTTTGTTTCTAATCTGCCGGTCATACTTGACAATGGCGGAGCGTCAGTCCGAGCCGGGTGGAGTGTTGGAGGGGAGGGGGCGTGAAGGAGGAGGCGGAGAGGAGGGTCTTCGTGGGCGATCTGAAGATGGGGATGGAGGGGGCAAGGCAGAGAGGGATCAGAGGGGGGATTGCTCCGGTGCTTTGTCGGGTAGTGGCCGCCGATGGTGGAACGGAGGGCACGAGGGGGCAAAGAGGAGGTCGGAGCGAGCCGAGCGGAGACGGTGGGTGGCGGGCAGCAGGGCTCCGAGAGGCTGTTGGAGGGACTTTGTGAATGAATGAATGAATGAAGCTCAGCGTCTGTGAATAGCGCCATTGTCAACCTGAACCGAAAAGTATTCGGCAAATGTAAGACTGGGCTGAACGCTCGGGTTGTGGCATTTTAATTACGCTCTCAAGCAATTCAAGCTATGCCGAGTAAATATTATTCATAAATAGCTTGATCTACGTGTCCCCTGCCTCCACCCTCTCCTCACCCCCACCCTCTCCTCACCCCCACCCCCTCCTCGCCCCACCCTCTCCTCACCCCCACCCCCTCCTCGCCCCACCCTCTCCTCACCCCCACCCTCTCCTCACCCCCACCCCCTCCTCACCCCCACCCTCTCCTCACCCCCACCCCCTCCTCACCCCCACCCTCTCCTCACCCCCACCCTCTCCTCACCCCCACCCCTCCTCACCCCCACCCCCTCCTCACCCCCCACCCCTTCTCACCCCCCACCCTCTCCTGACTCCCATCCTCTCCTCACCGAGAGAGAGAGGAAGGAAAACAAACTGAGCGAACAAATTTCAAACGTGGTTTATCACTAAATTCGAATCACGCTGAGGCGCGCAGTCCGGTCTTGTGGGTAAATAGATGTGTTTTCTCCCCCCAAGAAAGAAACAAGGAAAGTTTTCCAAGTCTTGATCAGTTTCCCCGCTCCGGCGAAAGATTCCGTTCCATGTGAATCCGAACCTCAAAAAGCTTCTTGTTCGCTGTTCTGAGCTGCTGCGTGTAATGGGATTCAATTCAATTCAATCCAATCTGTTCAACATATTCAACAGCTTCTCCTTTCTAATGCAATTGCTTATCGGTGCCTTTCCACCAGCCACATGTTGCTTGATTTAATGCTTTTCTGACAGTCTCACGCACACGCAACACGCGACACGCACGCGGGCACAACACGTAGCGTCGCGCCAGGCACCCATCACACACGCTTGGATTTCCAGGGTGAACTTACTACTCGCATTTGATATTGCGCCTGATCACGTCTTCGAGACGTCTCAAAACGCTACGCAGAATATCCTGTGAAGTGTCGTGACCGTATGTTTTGTGGGCGAAACGCGGCAGCCAATTGCGCACAGCAACGTCCCACAAACAGTCATGGTTGGAGTGATAAAAAAAATTTTGCGGGGGGAGGGTTTATGATCCCCAGAATGCGATCCGCCAATCGATTAACAACCGGGTTCCTATGGACTGCCGGGAAACAGAGTGAGTGTGTGTGTGTGTGTGTGTGTGTGGAGTAAGGAAACTTGCCCAAGGTTAAGGCCAGGACTCTGGGACTCGTTTAAAAAGGGGTGAGATCGCATGGGCCAAAGGACCTTCTTCATCCAGACCCCTCCTGTGATCTCATGGTCTTGTGATTTCAGTGCTGTGAAGTTACACAGAAACGCCTTTGTCCTGAGCGGCGACGTCTTAAGAGACGGAATTGAGGTCAACTATTTGCCCCCTTATTTGACAAAAACAACATTTAAAAAAAATTGGATTAAACGAATGCCGGATGATGCGTCTGATGCGATTGAGGAACACAGGAACAGGAGTAGGCCATTCAGCCCCTCCAGCTTGGCTGATCTATTTATTAGCGCTCACAAAGTTCCTTTGAACAATTCAGTAGTAATAAAAGGGTGATTGGAGTTGAGGTACAGATCAGCCATGATCTAATAGAAAGGCGGAACAGGCCAGAGGGCCTGAATGGCCTTCTCCTATGTTCCTATATCTATATATACACACACAGGGAGAGAGAGAGAAATACTTCCTGGTCTATCTAAAACTCTCTGAACCTCTGAAGGAGACCTGTTTGCCCCAGGCTCTTGGCGTATCTGCACGTCTATCTTTCTCTCCCGTATGAAAAGAGCCGTCCAACGTGCCACTTTGTGACGACGACACGTGCTGTTAGGAATCGAGAGCCCTGCCTTACCTGGTCACTTCTCATAGCTCAGCGAAGCAACTCCTCGTTGTTCCCCTCGGCGCTGCCTTCTTGGCGTGTTTTGGAATCCGATTGTTTCGATACCACGAGCGTACCATTCAACGCCATGTGTTATTAAGCGCTCTGTACTGAACACGCCCTCGTTCCCCTCAATGTGTGTTTCTCTCGACACGGATTCCAAAGTACCTAACGTGAGATGAACATAATAATAATAATAATAATAATAATCCTTGCATTTGATGTAGCGCTCTTCGAGACGTCTCGAGGCGCTTCACGGGAATAGGCTGTAAAGTGAATTGACCGTATATTTGTGGGCGAAACGCGGCGGCCGATCGTGGACTGAAAATGACCAATTTTATTATTGTTTTGTTTTGGAGGGATTATTATTAGTCGTGTGGAGTGAGGAAACTTGCTCAGGTTCCACGAGCAGTGAGTAGGAACCCGGTTGTGAGTCGACTGGCGGATCGCTTTCCGCGGTAATAATCCCCCCCCCACCAAAAAAAAACGGTCACTTAATCCACCACTGTTTGCGGGACGTCGCTGTGCGCAATTGACTGCCATGTTCGGCCCACAAAATGCACAGTCACTACTCTTTACGTTCTGTGAAGCGCTTTGAGACGTCTTAGCGACGTGATAAGGCGCTTTCTAACAACTCTTGCGTTTGATATGGGGCTCTTCGAGACGTCTCAAAGCGCTTCACGGGAATAGGCTGCAAAGTGAATTGACCGCATGTTTGTGGGCGAAACAGAAGAGACCGTGAGGTGTAGTGGCTGTATGTTTTGTGGGCGAAATGCTCGGTAAACAGGGGCGGGCGTGTGGACGAAGGAAACCTGCCTGAGGTTTCGCTCTGCCCTAGGAATGGGGAGGGAGCGAGCAGCACCAGCGCGGAACAGAGGGCTGAATGGCATCATGTGCCCTTAAAGCATTGTACAATTGTACAGTATGTGGAGCTATTGAAGTCGAGACAATTCCCGCTTCACGGGATCAACGCTGTAAGGCAGCTCCGAAAACAATAGGGCCCCCAAAACTATAACCTTTAATGCCGTTGGCAGAGAGCCAAGGTAACATTGCTGTGGTTTGCCATGTGCTGCGAGGGTTAGAGAGAGCCCAGCTGTGGAACGCTAAATAAATCATATTAAAGTGGGCCATCGGGAGAGAGAGAGAGAGAGAGAGAGAGACACGTTTCTCTGTTATTAAACCGCTCTTTCCCGGTGAGTGGGTGTCCTTTTACACAATGGAGGGAGTGGGGGTGGGGAAGAGATAAGAAAATACCAGCCTTCTCCTCTCCTCTCCTCTCCTCTCCCCGCCACCCCCACCGCCCCACTTTCTCTCCCCTCCTCCACCTCCCACCGGGAGCGCGCACACAAACGGTGCGTTTATTACAGCTGTTGATCGAGCTTCCTGACTTTCATCCAGTCCCATCCAGGGCTCCTACCCAACTTTCTGCACGGTTCAGACACACTTGCGTCATGCAAAAAGAGTTCATTGAGTCCATTCTCTCTCTCTCTCTCGGCGTCAATAAAGCCGAGCCTGTCACCGCAGACACTTTTACCCACGAGCTCCAGGCTGAGGTCCCTCTGCGTCGCTGGGGAGGGGGTGCGCGGTGTGTTGTCGGAGACGCCCATTGCTTTGGATCTCTCTGAGCGCACCGAGCTGCCACGGGAACAGGAGGAGGCCACCCGGCCCCTCCGAGAGCCTGTTCCGCCATTTCTCCTAAGATCGCGGCTGCGTCGGCGGCCCCGTTCGGGTGGAGGCAGAACATCTCGCGTGACAGTTTTGTGGCCTCGGCCGGCCAATGCGCGCTCAGCGCACTTCGCGTTGAAGTCCTTGAGGCGTCGCGATGATGTGACAACGGCAACAACAACAACAACAGATCACATTTATACGGGGCCTTTTCACATCGGGAGGACGTCCCAAGGCTGAAATTTTAAATTTCCATTGAATTAAACCCGGTTGAGGCTCTCGTTAAATGAAATAACCCAATTAATGAATCTATTCCGGTATTTTAATTCAGTCGCTTGATTCAATTGGTTTCGTTTGATAAGGCGTTGTGTCACGCGGTGAGGATTCTTCCTTCTTATTTTATTGTTATTAAAATCCCACCTTCAATTTTTTTTCAAACTGAAGTTTAAAACCTATTAATACTTTGAGCCGCACGAGCGGTTACTTTCCCCCTCGCCCCCTCTCCCTCGCCCCCTCCCCCTCGCCCCCTTCCCCTAGCTCCCTCCTAACCCTCGCCCGCTGCCCCCTCACCCCTCTCCCCCTCGCCCACTCCCACTCGCCCCCTCCTTCTCCCTCCTCTCCCTCGCCCGCTCCCCCCTCACCCCTCTGCCCCTCGCCCTCTCCCCCCCCCACCCCTCCATCGCCTGGCAATGTGAAGCGCTGTGGGACGTGACGCTGTGTGAATGCCGCTGTTGTGTCTGTCTCTCCCCACAGACTCGGAAGCTGTCGAAGGCCGAGCGGCAGAGGTTCAGTGAGGAGGTGGAGATGCTGAAGGGTTTGCAGCATCCCAACATCGTGCGCTTCTACGACTCCTTCAAGTCGTCCATCAAAGGCCACAAGTTCATCGTGCTGGTCACCGAGCTCATGACGTCTGGGACCCTCAAAACGTACGTTTGTCGGCAGCCACAAATAACATGGGTTTGGGGGGCGCGGATGGTGATGTTGTATGTGCGTCTGTCAGCGCGTGCTTGTGTGACTGCGCGTGTGTATATGTGTGAGTATATGTGGTGTGTGAGTATGTATGTGGTGTGTGTGTATATATGTGTGTGTGTGAGTGTGTATGGTGTGTGTGTATGTGGTGTGTGTGTATATGGTGTGTGAGTGTATGTATGTGGTGTGTGTGTGTATGCGTGAGTGTGTATGTGGTGTGTATGCGTGTGTATGTGCGTGAATATGTGTGTATAAGGTGAGTGGTGTGTGTATGTGTGATGTGTGTGTGTGTATATGTGAGTATGTATGTGGTGTGTGTGTACATGGTGTGTGTGAGTGTATGTATGGTAGGTGTGTGTGCGTGTGTGTGAATATGTGCGAGTGTGTATGTGGTGTGTGTATGCATACATGTGAGTGTGTGTGTACATGTATGAGTGTGTATGTATGTGATGTGTGAGTGTGTATGTGGTATGTGCGTGTGTATGTGAGTGTGTGTGTATGTATATACGTGTGTGTGAGTGAGTGTGTATGTGGTGTGTGCGCGTATATGTGTGAGTGTGTGTGTGAGTGTGTGTGTATGTGGTGTGTGCGCGTATATGTGAGTGTGTGTGTGTGTGTATGTGGTGTGTGCGCGTATATGTGTGAGTGTGTGTGTGTGTGCATGTGGTGTGTGTGTGTGGTGTGTGCGCGTATATGTGTGAGTGTGAGTGTGTGTGCATGTGGTGTGTGTGTGTGTGTGTGCGTGTGCGTGTGTGTGAGAGTGCGTGTGAGGTGTGTGATGCATGCGGCTGGTGTTTTGCAGGTACCTGAAGAGGTTCAAGGTGATGAAGAACAAGGTGCTCCAGAGGTGGAGCCGGCAGATATTGAAAGGCTTGCACTTCCTGCACACGCGCTCACCGCCCATCATCCACCGCGACCTCAAGTGTGACAACATCTTCATCACAGGCCCCACGGGCTCCGTGAAGATCGGGGACCTGGGGCTGGCCACCCTCAAGAGCGCCTCGTTCGCAAAGAGCGTGATAGGTACAAAGGGGAACTCTCTCCCCAAATCCCTCCAGTTGGCTTCCCCCAAACCCCTCTCTCCCCCTCGTCTCCCCTCCCCTCCCCTCTTCCTCCTGTACTGTCTACAGGGTCCATCAGCGAGGAGGAGGGGGGAGGTGGGGGGGGGTGTTGTGTGTGTCAATGTTGTGTGCGCTTGCGTCAGTGTGTGCGCGTGCGAGTGTGCGCGTGTGTGTGTGCGCGTGTGTGTGAGAGGGACTTTTCTGAAGAGTCCTGGAGCTCAGTGGTTGGTCCGCTCGCCTCACAAGCGAGAGGACCCGGGTTCAATTCATGCCCCGGACGAAACGTTGGGCACGTTTCCTTACTCCGCACGCCTGGAGGTAATAATTCCTTCGAAATAAATAAAAACTAATTTGGTCACTCAATCCCCGACTGCTGATAATAAGGCGTCTCACAGCGCTTTCGCAGGATATACTACAAGAGCGTAGTGGCTGTGTATTTTGCGGGCGAAACGCGGCAGCCAATTGCGCGCAGCCGCGTCCCCACATACCAGTCGCGGATCGAGTGAGCGGATTAGTATTATTGTCACTACAGTATTTTTTTGAAGGGATTAATGCCGTTTTTTTTTTAAAAAAATCGATAATTAAAAAATGAATTTATTTGTTTTTACATTTTTTTGTTTGTTTGTTTGTTTGTTTGTTTGCTTCAGGAACGCCAGAGTTCATGGCCCCCGAGATGTACGAGGAGAAATACGACGAAGCTGTCGACGTTTACGCCTTTGGGATGTGTCTGCTGGAAATGGCCACCTCCGAATACCCTTACTCCGAGTGCCAGAATGCGGCTCAGATCTACCGCAAAGTGACCAGCGTGAGTGTGAACCCTCCCACCCACCCGTCCGGTGTCCGGGAAGCTGTTGATGTCGTCCCGTTCAGTTAAGGGCGATACTCCTCAAATGGAAGCCCCGCTTTCAAGCCCCACGTTTCGCCCACAAAATACGCAGTCCACCCACTTGGCTGTATATCCCGTGGAGCGCTTTGCGACGACGCGAAGACGTGATGATAAGGCGCTGTATCAAATGAGAGGATTATTAACAACAACAACAACAACAAGATTCCATTTATAAAGCGCCTTTCACGTCAGGAGGATGTCCCAAGGCGCTGCACAGTTGGGTCATGACCCGAGCATTGGGGGAAATGGTCAGGGTGAGGGGAGGGAAGGGAGGGAGCGAGGAGGGGGAAATGGTCAGGGTGAGGGGAGGGAAGGGAGGGAGCGAGGAGGGGGGAAATGGTCAGGGTGAGGGGAGGGAAAGGAGGGAGCGAGGAGGGGGAAGAGAGTCGAGAGGGGAGCTGAAGGCTGAATTAATATTATTATTATTATTATTCTCCCAACGTGAATTGGCTGCCGTCCCCCAATGGGCTCCTGTAGTTCTGGCATGTGTTGCACGGGACATGGTGGTCACGTAACACTATTGTACTATTTCATGCGGAGAGAGATGGAGCGCCGAGGCAGTGCCAGGATACCAGTTAATGATTAATGCCACGTTACATTGTAATGTGCAAGAAAATTACCAGCATCGGTGTAACTGGCTTGTAAATGACTGGAGGCCATAAGATTTAGCAGGGTCTTAACCTTTAGACCGTTGCCTTCAAATTTTAAGGTCATGGAAACCTTTCGCAAGCGTATTTTTTCTTTTTTTTTACCTTCGAAAGGGAGTTTCTCTCTTTCTCCCGCACGGTGTCCTGGCCGACAACCCCCCCCCAAATCGCATCGGTCACGTCACTCGCTTCCACCACTGTTTGCGGGACGCCGCTGCGCGCGAATTAGTTGCCGCGTTTCGCCCAACAAAATATGCCCAGCGTCTGCGGTGTCTCGCGCGCCCTGTGAAGTGCTTTGAGACCTCGCCACGATGTGGAAAAAAAAGGGGCTGCGTCAAACGGAAAGCTTTCTGACTTACTTATTTACGAAAGGACATGGGCACTGGCGTTTCTGGGAAACAATTAGTTTCATTCCACTGACCTCTGAAAGTCAAAATACTTTCCACCTGCTCCCTAACGGGTGTTTTTTTTTTAAACTTAAGAAGAAGTTAAAGAGTTTAACGTGCGTTTAGTAGGACCTAAGCGTGAAACAGACGCGCCCCCGGCAGAAACATTAATGGTTTCAAGCCCAATTGTGACTCGTCCATTAAAACATTCCCCTAAAAGCAAAAAAAAAACCCATCGCAGCTGGCCGGTTGCTTGTTTGCGCCCGAGCCAACGGGAAGCTCGAAAAGAAAGGAATATTCTCCTGCCCTGATTTAACCGAGAGGATAGGAGGCCGTTGCGTTTCGAGGTAAATGCGTTCTTGAGCTTAGTCGCGCTCGAAGACTTGCGGTCACCTCCCCACTCTCCCCCCCCATCCCCCCCCCCCCACCCCCCCCCCGACCCTGCGTGAGGGGGCGCTGCACAAGTACAAGTTGTTGTTGTTTTGAGGTTGATCCCAAATGAGATCGAAGAGCGGTTTTGTACGGCATTTTGTTTCAGTGAACAGGGTTTTGTCCGGCGAGTTGGTAACAGAGAAACAGTCGGCCTGGCTCAGGCGGTTCAACTGAGTTAGTTCAAGTCAAGTGAAGGGCGCTATATAAATGGAAGTTGTTGTTGTTGTTGTTGTTCTGGGGCAAACGTGCCTAGAGTTACCCAGAGCGAGACACCGCAGACACAGGCCGGTTCGGGACGCGGGCTTTGAGGGCAATGGCCGGGCGAGTCTTGAGAGATTATTGCTGGTTTTTGTTTCCTCTTTGGCCTCTGTAATGTTTGACAACGCTGCAACGATCCAGACATTTGCTTCAAGGATGTTTCAAAGGTTCGAGTCGAAGCCGAAGGCCATCTTCCTCCTCCAGCAAGTCCGTGTAGCACCGCTTAATGATGCTGAACTGTGCCAATGTGCAAATGCCAATCTGATTATGTGCATTTGACCTTACAGAAACTTGTGCTGGCATTATGCATCTGGGTTAGCCTGGGAGCGGAAAATGCAATTAAACTTGATGTACGTCGTCAGAAAGCCACCAGCGCTGGCTGCGGCTGGATTAGGCTGACATTGGCACATTATAAAGAGAAAAGAAAAGGCCGTATCCAGTTGGACGACCCTCCTTTATCAGGCTGGCTCGCCCCACTCGCTCCCCCCTCAAAGGGCTCCACTGAATATACTGTGAAGTGAATTGACTGTGTATTTTGTGGGCGAAACAGTTAGTTAGTTAGTCCATTTGTTCGTTCGTTCGTTCGTTTGTTTATTACACCTCCCTTCCCTTGCAACACCCTCTCTCCGCTACGTTTACAGATTGCTTCCCAGCCCCCCAGCCCCCACCTCGAACCCCCATACACACAAGTGCATGCCTTGCAGCTATTTCACCAGATGCTGTTTAGACCCTTTCTCTCCCTCTCTCTCTCTCTCTCTCTCTCCCTCCCCGGTAGCTCTCGGCGCCATGAATACAAACCAGACAGGGCTTGGAGCGTAGCTAAGTGCGTCCCCGTTCTGAACAGCGGATTTTTTTCCACTGGAATCGGGTTCCGCTCGGTTACTTATCCCACGGGAGCTCGAGCCTGTCACGAGCGCTTAACTGATTTCAGTGGCACAAAGGCTGGAGAAACACTCGAGCGCAGCCTGGATGTTATCTCCCGATATACCTTATCAAATACTGTATTCCATCGATTAGCTCACTGCGTGGAGCCTCAGCAGAACAGAGACCACGATAAGCATCTTCCAATGTCGCAAGGCCTCCCCGATGATAAGGAACCAGCGAAGCTTTAGTAATCCTAAGGGTCCAACACGACTATCACAAACACAAATAAGCTCACGAGGAGCCAAGATGTTGGGAAACAAACCGACCTGTGTGTGTGTGTGTGTTTTTTATAATTCAAAAGTTACTGAGTTTGTTCTCCAGCCTTTAATTACATTTGTACCATAAAATCCTCCTGTGAAGTTAATGATTACTTCCACCGTTATACTCTGCGAAAAACCTTTCCGACTCGGGTCTAGTTCAGGCGAAGGGTTATTCTTTTATGTGTGTGTGTGTGTTTCTCTGTAGGGGGTTAAGCCAAGCAGTTTTCACAAAGTAAACGTCCCTGAACTCAAGGAGATTATCGAGGGCTGCATACGGCAAAACAATGATAAGAGGTAAGTCCTGGACGTTCTGTGTGATTATTAAGTGTTTTTCTTTATCTCAGTCTTTGGGGGGTGGGGGAGGTAAGGGTGGAGGGGGATGGTGGGGGGATGGGGGGTGTGGGGGGAAGTTCACCAACGTTAGAACGATGTGAGTCATTTATACACCTGTGAAGTGTGACTGACACACACACATTCTCACACACACACACAACGCACACACGCCCAACTCCGCTTTAATAATAATAATAATAATCCTCGCATTTGATATAGCGCTTTTCACGTCGGGAGGACGTCCCAAAGCGCTTCACAGACCACACTGTAAAATGAATTGACTGTATATTTGTGGGCGAACGCGGCAGCCAATTGCGCACAGCAATGTCCCACAAACAGTCGTGGATTGAAAATGACCAATTTATTATTGTTTTTGGTTTTGGAGGGATTATTATTAGGCTCTGTGTGGAGTAAGGAAACTTGCCCAAGATTTTGCCCTCTGCCTGGGATTGAACTCAGGTCTCTCGCGATTGCTTTAATTGGAGGATCGTGTTAAACAGCCGCAATCGCACTTGCTCGAAAAGTTTATTATCACAATGAATAAATATGGTTTGGTTTCATGTTCGATCGGGCCCTTTATCACGCCGACGCGTCTCAGATTACAGTGCGAGGTGTCGGTGTGCACTCGCATGTGTCAACCTGTATTGGTTCAGTCCATCACGCTCCCACCCGTGGGTCAGAGTTCGTGGGTTCAAGCCCCTACGTCCAGGACATTGACGTCACAGTCCACAGTACACTACTAATATTGTACAATAAGTACAATATTAATAAGAATTCTTGCATCTGATATAGCGTCTTATCACGTCGCAAAGCGCTTCACAGAATTCTAAGGATTGGCGGTGTTGTTGAAAAGTGGAGTGACTGTGTATTTTGTGGGCGAAACACGACAGCCAATGGCACACGGCGGTCATGAATTGAGTGACCACAATTTTTTTGGGAGGGATGGTAACCCCCGAAAAGCGAGCCACCAATCGACTAACAAGCGGGTTCCTGTTTACTGCTTAATGTCTAGCCGAAGGTCATTCGGCCCACAACTGCACAGTCACTACACCGTGCAGTAAATCCTGTGAAGCAGCTTTGACGCAGTATCACACGCAAGAATTATTGATTACGATTACTACCTACTAAAGAGCGTTGCCCGAAAACTCCCACAAAGTTGACTGCCACCTTGCTGTCCTATTCTCGCTCTCCCCCCACCCCCCCCACCCGCCACCACCTACCCAGGTACACCATACAGGAACTCCTGGATCACGCCTTCTTCCAAGAGGAGACGGGGGTTCATGTAGAGCTGGCCGAGGAAGATGACGGAACCAAATCAGCCCTGAAGTTCTGGCTACGCATGGACGACACGAAGAAACTCCACGGCAAATACAAGGACAACAAAGCCATCGAGTTCCTGTTCGAGCTCTACAAGGATGTCTCCGAGGTGGTGGCCCAGGAGATGGTGAGTTGCCGTTATTTGTGCATAAGGGTGTAAGGATTTGCCGGGCGAAAGGAGATCAAGGTCCATCCCATCCTCCTTCCACCCAGCCTGTAAGTCGCTTGACATTTTGTGTCCCAACTAAAAACCGTGTGTGTGTGTGTGTGTGTGTGTGTGTGAGGGGGGGGAGGGTGATGGTGGGGGGAAGAGGGAATAAAACACACTGATTTTGCAGAAGAAAACAGAATAGAAGAGGACTATTTGTTATGTCTGTGTATGCTGCTCGTGCCCCCCCCCCCCCACTGGAGCTCTCTACTCTAATCCCATTCCTCCCTCGCTCTTTCCCCATGGCCTTTAACGTTAATTTTCCTCAAGTGTATCTTCAGTTCTTTATTAAAGATTAGGTTGACCTCAACGACCATTTATGGCAATGTTCTCGTGGCTGAAAACACTAACCACGTAGGGAATAATTTCTCAATTTCAGGCAAATTGCGTTACTGCCAACAGCCCCTCTCCTCCTCCCCCACACAGCAATGAAATGAGTGGTCAGATGTGATTGTTTTCGGGGTGAACTTTGGACGAGGACCGAATATCGTCTGGGAGGATAATGCTCTCCCATTTTTCTATGACATAATCCCACAGGATCTTGGATATCCATCTAAAGCACCAGAACAGGCCAAACCCCAGCTCCAGAATCATTGTTTCCCAACAAGGCTTTCCGACCCAGCATCTCGGACGCACCACACCCACCCACCCACCCACCCAGGCATTATCCTCTGTGAAGGGCGTTGTCCTTAACAGTCCTTGCATTTAGTGTCGCGCCTCATCACCCACAAAATATACAGTCCATCCCGTGAAGCGCTTTGAGATGTCTGAAAGAAGTGATGAGGCTCCGTGTCAAACGGGAGGATTATTATTATTATCGCCTCGGTGAGACGTCTCCAAGCGCTTCACAGGATTACGCTGCATGGCGTAGTGACTGTGTGCTTTGTGGGCGAAACGCGGCAGCCAATTGCGCGCGGCAGAATCGCTTTAACTGTTTGAGATGACCGGCTCCTCGGTGCCTTGGCAGGTAACGCTGGGCTTTGTGTGCGAGGTCGACTACAAAGTGGTTGCGAAAGCCATCAGGGACCGGGTGACGGACGTCAAGAGGAAGCGGGAACGAAGCCACCGGGTGCGAGAGGAGCTGAAGAAGAAGGAGCAGGAGGAGAGGCAGAAGGTGTCCGAGCTCTCGGAGGAGTCCAAGCCCGTCCCGGACGCCGCCCAGGGGGTGGCCGGGGGAAGCCAGGCGTCGCAGCCTCTACCTGCCTCGGGCTCCCCCAAACACGTGCTCAACCCCACGTTCCCTCCCGAGCCCGAGGAACCGGAAGCGGACCAACACCAGAGCTTCGTCTATCGGCACACCGGATACTCCTCGGCCACATGTAAGGCACGGAATCGGGAAGCGGACGGGATTCGAGCCCAGGTTTGGGGTTCGCTCAGAGAGAATGGGGGAAGGGGGATTGTTTCGGGTGGGTGGGTGGGGGGGGGGGGGGTTGGGAGAGAGCAGGCCTCTCACAGCTGGTGGAGGTGTGCGGTGGGGTGGGGGAGGGGGGTGGGAAACAGCTTCGCTAGGATTCGCTCCACTTGAGTCAGGACAATAGCGTAGTGATTAGCGCGCAAGCCGAGAGGACCGGGGTTCGATTCCCCGACCAGGCCAACACCTGAGGCGAGTTTCCTTACTCCACGGGCCTCCGACGACCGAGCAAGAAGTAGGAACCCGGTTGTTGATCGATTGGCAGATCACTTCCTGACGGTAATAATCTCTTCCTTCCCCCCACCACCCCACCCCCCACCCCAAAAAAAATTATAATAATAATTTGGTCAAAAGAAGTTTCACCCTCAAAAAATACACAGTCGCTCCACTTTACAGTATATCCTGTGAAGCGCTTTGAGACTTCTGAAGATTGTTAAATGCAAAGGATTATTATTAACAATAAGATTTCCAAACCCATTTTAACTTCCTCAACTAAGATATGGAGTGAGTTTAGGAATACCGCAGTTCAATTCCAGCCCCCCCTTCACCCCCCCCAACACCCCCCGGGCCCCCAAAGGCGAATGCTGCAATTTTTAGGTAAAGGAATTGTTTTAGGGGACAAACCGTTGGCTTTTTAGTTGGTGATCTCTGTGCGGTGTGTCCTGCTGTTCTCCAGGTCAGGTAGTCAGGTCAGCTCTCTGGCACATCCTTCCTCTCCCGAGCCTGGGTCAGGGAACGCATCATTACACAAGGAACTGTGGACACTGACTGTTAATCCGCCTTATCCGACGGATCACAGCAACCAAACCACCAGCTTGTAGCAATCTATGGCTGATGTGATTGTCCTGTTAGAAACCAGAGGGAGTCAGGGGAGGGGAGTCGGTGGGGATGGCGGCGGCGGTGGTGGTGGTGGGGGCGCGGGGCGGGGGGTGGAGGGCTGTTGAGGGATTCCAATCCGCAATTTCACAGTAGGATTTTTTTAATAAGAGAAGATGTGGAAGGCTGTGGAGGTTGGGTGGAGTCGATGGGGATGTTTAGAAGAGAGATAGTCACAGACTTGGGTTCGATTCCCGGGTGGGTCGGGGCAAAACCTTCGGCAAGTTTCCTTACTCCACACACACACGCGCGCGCACTCGCCTCTGTTTACCCGGCAGTAAGTAGCAACCTGGTTGTTAGTCGATTGGCGGATCGCTTTCCGGGGGTAATAATCCCTTNAAAAAAAATGTGATCACTCAACCCCACAACCGTTTGGGGGTCATTGCTGTCTGTGCGCAATTGGCTGCTACGTTTCGCCCACAAAATGCAGAGTTACTACACTTCACAGCGTATTCTGTGTGAAGAGCTTTAAGACATCTCAACAACGTGATAAGGCGCTGTATCAAATGCAAGGATTATTGTTATTATTGTTGGGTACCGGAGGTATTAGGGTGGGGGTGTGGGGTGATGAAAGAGAGGGGGATTGGGATGAAAAGAAGATGTAATAAACTAGTGGAACAAGCTTCATGGGGTGAATGGCCTTGTCCTGATCCTGCTTCCCGACTTTTCCGGTGATAGAGTTTCCAATTGAAGGATTTTTTTTTGGTGGAGGGAGAGGAAGATGTTTTTTCCCGTCGCAAGTCTGTGACTGGGGTCTGTTTTCTTCCCCTGACCAGCTGACTGCGAGACCGATGGCTATCTAAGTTCTTCCGGGTTTCTGGACTCCAATGAGAACATGCACAAGGCTTCCAGCATCTCGGCCACTCAAACAGAGATGGGCCTGCAGTATCCTCTGGTGAGTGAGTCAAACTCCCCGCTGGATCCCGACAAGGGAGAGAGCTTCGGAGATAAACAAAGCCCTTCAGCCCATCTGATCTGCGTTGAAACAACAACGAATCGATCCGTGCAGTGTCAGGAGGATCCCGAGGAGCTGGACAGTCAGGGATCCACACCCGAGCTGGTGGTTGGGATCAGGAGGGGGTGGAGGCAGGGAGGGAGGGTAAGGGGGTAGGAGGGTGACCAAAGGGGCGGTCGAAGAGGAGGGTCTTGAGACAGGTCTTGAAGGAGGCGAGGGAGGGAGCGAGGCAGGGGGACTGTGGGATGGATTTCCAGAGGGTGGAGGCAGCGAGGCTGGAGGCCTGCCCGGAGATGCGGTGCAGTGGGGGTGTTGTATTGTCCTTCGGATGAGACGTTAAGCCTCACTCCCCGTCTGCCTGTTCAAGTTAAAGGACGTTAAAGATCCCGCTGGAAAAGAGAAAGGAGTTTTTCTCCCTCTCTCTCGGTGTCCTGGCCATTAATCCCCCGAATAAAATTGGTCACTCGCTCCATGGCTGTTTGTGGGACGTCGCTGTGCGCAAATGGGCTGCTGTGTTTCTCGCAGTCGCTGCACTTTACAGCGAGTCCCGTGAAGCGCTTCGAAACGACCCCCTGACGTGAAAGGCGCTGTATCAAAAGTAAGGTATTACTATATTGTGTTCCGTCCGCGATGGATGCTCAGGGATGCTTTGGTTTTGGTTGTTTCCTGCAGCCGAACGTACGTAACCTTTCCCTTTGTGTGTCTTTCGGTATCGCAGAACATCGCTGTGTCGATTCCCACCAAGCAACAGTTGTCACCTCACAGCGGACTGAACTCACCAGCTGACAGGTTAATGAGAATCGCGAGAGGCCGTTTCGAGAGAACGGACTGGTTTTTGCACAGCGCCCGCCTTCCACGTCGGGAGGAGGTCCCAAGGCGCTGAACAGTCAGGGATTTGCCCACCAGCTGGGGGGAGCTGGATGGCAACGTTAACGTCTCCGAATGCCTCTATAAGCCCTTCACTTGTCAGGTGTAGTGACACACAGGGAGAGAGTGGTGCATCCCATCTGATCACATCCCCCTCTAAGCACCTTCCCTACATGCAGCTCCTTGGGCTGTCTTCCCGACATGAAAGGCGATACACAAATGTAATTTGTTATTGTTATTTGTTGTTGTTTTCCCCCCCCCCCCCCCCCCCCGGCCATCACAACATTGAGCTGCTTCGTATACGAGTCCCAAATGTCCTGGCCTCAACCACCCTTCCTGGCAACGCTGTTCCCAGTTGCCGGTTGCCCTCTGGATAAAGAAACACTTCCTGGTGTCTGTCCTGAAATTGCCCGCCCTTGTGAAACTCTAAACCCCGTCTCCCCGTGTCCTCTACTGTCCCGGTCCATCCGAAAGCAGGGGAGGAGAGAAAAGGGACGAGTCTCCCCGACAGCAGAGGGCTAGAATGGAAGGTGAACACATACCGTGATCTCACTCTGTCATTGCTCAGCTTTCCATCCAGTAGTTAGTGGTTAAAGTACATCAATCACCGGGAACCAGAACCGTTTATAAATTGCCCGTGAACTTTTAAATGCTTTATTGTTCCTTCGCTTTATTTAATCAAGGGTTTCGTTTTAAAACCTGACACCCTTCGCGACCTTCCTCCAGCTCGAATTGATTTAATAATTTCTGTGTATCCTCCATAAAACGAAGGCAATTTCCTTTAACTTACTATTCCCTTAACATAGGCCTCTCACCTCCACACAACCTTTAACTTTCAACCTGATCGGGTTCACATTTCTCTCCTGACTTCTCTCTCTCTCTCCCTCTCGTTCTCTCTCCCTTACCCTCGGGCATCCTGGACAACCATTCCCCAGATATAAAAATTGGTCATTCGCTTTGCTTCATAGCTGTTTGTGGGACATAGCTGTGCACAAACTGGCTGCCACGACACACACACACACACAGTCACTCCACTTTACAGTAAATGCTATGAAGCACTTTGAGACACCCTCCTGATACGAAAGGTGTTGCATCAAGTGCAAGAATGTTATTAGTAATAGTATTATTATTATTATTAGAGACCGGGTCAGTAGAATTGTTGAAAGGAACTGGAACCGGTGCACGTGAGCAGTAATAGATAGATCAGCCGTGATCGGCAGAACAGGCTCACGGGGCTGAATAGCCAATTCCTGTTCCTATAGTGTTGGGGATATAGGGAGAGAGGTGGAGAGAGAGAGACTTGATGGGTGGAATGACCTCCTGGGTCTGAATTGGCCGCTGTGTTTCTCTCCGCACAGCTATGCCTCCGATGTCGCCTCTGGAATGAGCGACGGGTACGAAGGCCTGTCTGCGGGGGAGGGACCGAGGAAGGTTCCGGCAAGACGGACGTCCAGCAAGCTCATCCGCAGGCGAGGACGATCCCGGCTACGGATACTTAACGTGAGCGCTCGCGGCGGGGCGGGGCGGGCCCGGGGGTGGGGGTGTGGGTGGTGGAGGGGGTGCGGAGTGGTAGGTGTGTGGGGGTGGGGCTGGTCTCGCTTGTCGGAGGAGGACGAGGAGCCGGGGAGGGGAGGGAGGGGTGTGTACACACGGTGCGGTTGGCGAGGGCTGAGGCTCGCTCTGTTGTCGCGGCAGATTTCAGACAAAGGTGACCGTGTGGTGGAATGTCAGCTGCAGACGCACAACAACAAGATGGTGACGTTCCGGTTTGATCTGGAGGGCGACAGCCCCGAGGAGATTGCGGCTGTTATGGTAAGTGGTGGCTCGGGAAGGGGAAGGGGTGGGGGGTGCGAGCAGCGGTGGATCAAATGCCGTCTTCGCCCCCATCACACACACACACACAACGCGCTCGCGGCTGATTCTGTTTGGCGTTCAATCCCATTCCGTTTTGCGCTGGAACAAGTTCCTTCGCCCTGACCGTGGCTGTGATGCCAATTAGGGTCTAATGTGCACATTGCGTGTGTGTGCGCGCGTATCTGTGTGTGTGTATGCACGTGGTTATGTGTACTGGGCTGTGTGTATGAATGTACGTGTATGTGTGTGCGCGCATGTACGTGCGTGTTTGTGTGTGAGTGAGTGCGTGTGTGTGTGAGTGAGTGCGTGTGTGTGTGCGTACTTGTGTGTATGTATGTATGTGTGTGTGTATATTTGTGGGCGTGTGTATGAACGCGTGTGCGCGCGTGCGAGTGTGTGCAGGAGTACGGTTGAGTGTGTGTGTACGTGCGTGTTTGTGTGTTCGGTACTTGTGTGTGAGTGTGTGTATATATGTGTGTGTGTGCGCGCGTGTATATATTTGTGTGTGTGTGTGTGTGAGTGTGTAAGTGTGAGCCTGGACTTACGGTGCTGTGTTTTGCTCAGATCAACAACGAGTTCATCCTCCTGACAGAGAAGGAGGGTTTTGTGTGTAAGCTCCGCGACATCATCCACAAGGTGGAGACCCTGCTGAGCAAGGACGGGCCGGGGGACCAGACCGGACGCAGAGAGGGAACAGAGGAGGCCGACAGCCAGCAGCCCAGCCCCCCCGTGCCCCAGTACCCTCAGGTCAACAGCAGCTCCGACTAACCCGTGTTTTGCTCTCAATCCTCGCGCTCTCTCTCTCTCTCTCTCTCCCTCTCTCACTCACTCACTCGCTCTCGCTGCGAGGCAGAAGGTAGTGGGTTCGACGGGATGAGACGTTAAGCCCACCTCCCGCTCCGCGCCCTGTTTGTCCGGGCGGGCGTTAAAAGATCTCCCCGTCTCGCTGCTCGAAGAGTAAAGGGTGTTTTCAGGCCAACCATCTCCTTCTCACCCCCACCCCGGCCACCACCCCCGCCACCACCCCCGCCTCCCCGACACGATCGATCATTTGCTTCATTGCTGCTGTTTGCGGGACTGTGCGCAAACTGGCCGCCGCCTTTCGCCCGCAAAATATACGGTCAATTCACTTTACAGTCTATTCTGTGAAGCGCTTTGAGACGTCGAGAAGACGTGAAAAAGCGCTATATCAAATGCGAGGATTATTATTATTATTATTATTATTTATTACTGTTGTTATAAGTTGAGCCGCAGGGGATGAACGTGTCTTTGTTGTGAACTGTGTGTTACAGGGAGAAGCCCAATTAAATCTCTCACCATCTCCGTCACTGTCACCGAGTGAGACAGGTAAGCCTGGCTGATACTCTTCTCAACACAACACTACCTCAACACGACAACCATGGAGTCCTGTAGCTCAGTGGTTAGCGAGCCAGAGGACCTGGGTTCGATTCCTCGGGCAAGTTTCCTCACTCCACACACGCGCCTCTGTTTACCCGCCGGTCAGTAACAACCCGTTTGTTAGTCGATCGGCAGATGGCTTTTCCGGGGGGAAATTATCCCTTCAAACAAAAAAGGATAAATTGGTCACTCGATCCACGACTGACAAAATATACAGTGAAGCGATTTGAGACGTCTCAATGACATGATGAGGCGTTATATCAAATGCAAGGATTATTATTACTATATTCCTCAGTGGAGCTCACCTATAATGTCCATCAATTGAAAATATTAGTGAGGTCATTGAGTTCTGATTTGGGATATTTGCAGAAGGGAAACAGCCTCGGCAGTACAGTCCAGCCCTGCCCAGCCCTGCCTCGTTCGGGTGGGCTTCAAGACCCTTACGTCGTGTGGTGGGTGGGTGGGTGGGGTGTGGGGGATCTTTGACTTCACTGTCGTTTCTGTAAACGCGAGGAACTTTCTTCATCGCTCCCACTGTACAAAGCGTGACAGACTGACTGTTTTATTTGCTTGTCTGTTCACACGTTGGCCTCGGCGCTAAGCGCAGACTAAAACACAGCGGTGTTGCCCAACCTGACCTCCAAAACGCTGTGTTCCCCACCGGCCCGTTGCCAGCACAAAAGCCGGCAAAAAGCACAGACTAGCCACGAAGGCGTCCAAGGATTAATCGGTCTCTTAGGAAGTTGACACAGAGCCCGAACGAAATGAAATCCGGGCTCTATTGTTCCCGGCGCCTTACGGCTGAAATTGAACCCGTTCCCTTACTGTCACGGAGAACGGCGAACGGCTCGCCCCTCGGGAATGAAGGTAATGCCAAGGTCGCTCGTTTAGGGAAGAAAACATTAATCATTAAGGTGTAAAAGCAGGAAACACGCAAGCAATTTTCAGGTCTTGGCATCTTGCCCAATGTGCGGGCACATCGTTAACGAGTCTCGATGGGATCTTGCAACACAGAATGAGAGTGATTTCTGAAAGAGCTCCCTGTGTGTTCCCACACCCTGCCTTCCCCCCCCCCACCCTCAAACAGCACCCCCAGCACCCCCTCACCACCCCAGCCCCGCCACCCCACACAACACGCTTTAATATTAGTTCCGACGAAGGGTCGTGGACCCGAAACGTTGACTCCCTCCGTAGATGCTGCCTGACCCGCTGAGTGTTCCCAGCTCTCTCTCTCTCTCTCTTTTTGTTTCAGATCTCCGGCAGTATTTTGCAGTATTTTGCCTTTTGTTTACGCTTTAATATTATGCCTTTATTCAAATATTTGCCCTGACCAATAAATCCCCCAAATACAACCGGTCACTCGATCCACGGCTGTTTGCGGGTGACGCTGCTGTGCCCACGAAATACACGGTCACTACACTTTACAGCGTATCCCGCGAAGGGCTTTGAGACGTCTCGACGCCGTGAATAAGACGCTGTGCCAAATGCAATGATTATTATTATTATTAAGTCAGCCGCAGCGCGTCACGCAGTCTCTGTTCTTTGCTAGAAGCGGCGAGCTCCGTCCTCTCCTCTCGTGAGCTGGAGTCTCCGAGCCGGAATTTCCTGTTCAGTCCGGTGGCCGAAAACCAACCCCACGGCTCTCCAGTTTCCGAGCCGTCCTCTCAGTCGCTTGTCCACACTCCCTCTGCAGGTAGGAGAGGCTTCGACACGGGTACCAAAAACCCTCGCCCCGTGTTAAGGGGCAGCATAATAACCACAGCACGGGATGAGTTGCTCCCTTCTTCGACCCTGAACCGGCTTCCAAATTTAAGACCCAGGGAAAGAATTTCCTCCCCCCCCCCCCCCCCAGAAAAAAATAGCGGGCGATGTTAAATTTTCACAGAATGGGCTCGAGGCTAAGGCCACGAGCAATTTCAGGGCCTTATTCACCGTAGATTCTCGTGGCTGTTTGGGTGATCGTCGCTGTGCACGAACCGGTAAAGTCACTCGACTCCACATCAACTCCCGCGAAGCGCTTTGAGACGTCCTCCTGACCTGAAAGGCGCTGTGTCAAATACCAGGATTATTATTATTATTATTATTATTTCTCTCAGTCTGGGTCGGGTGCCCTTTAGCTACTGCGACGGGTTTCTGTGCACGACGCCAGATTCTCGGTCGAGCCCAGAGCAAAGTCATGCCGCGAACTCCTGATAACTCAACCCCCGTCTCAACTTGTCGCCAGCACTTAAGTCAGTAAACCGGCTGCGTGTTGATTTTATGTGTATTTATGCGCTCGCTGCTCCTGATAACTTGTCACTGAGCCTTTTCCCCCGAGAATCGAATGCAAGGATTGTTATTATTAATATTATTATTAATCATATTGTTGTTATTATTACCTGACTGTGATTTGGATTCCGCAGGTGGGTCAGTCGTGCACCGCCCGCCCGGGCCCGCAGAACCCGCGCCCCTCGAAGCCGGAGACGTGCCGGGAGGAGTAACGCAGCCCGGCTTCATCCCGGCCCCCGCCGGTGGCCGGAGACCGAACGGAGCTGACGTGCTCACAGCGACGCCTCCTCAGACCGTCAGCCCGGTGTGGACTCCGCAGCCCGCGGCAGCCTGGAGCACTCCCACTCCCAACCCCACTCCCAACCCCACTCCCAACCCCACTCCCAACCCCACTTCCAACCCCACTCCCACTCCCCCCAGCTCGCTCAGCCCCAGCTCGGCCCTGACTCCAGCCGCCAGCCTACAGACAGGCCCACACCCAGCCTTGCTCACCAAGGACATGGACCCCGCGAGCCCCGAGGCCCCCCTCTACCTGCAGCCGCAGCCCAGCGCCTGGCTGCAGAACGCGCAGCCCCTCCTGTCGCTGAACGACGTGCTGTCCCTGGCCATGAGCATGAGCAAACTCGCTCACACCTTCCTCCCCGGGACCCCCTCAGGCCTCCCCCAGTCTCCGCACCTCTCCCCCACCCCGGTCCTTCCTCAGCCGCCGCCGGTGCCCGGTTTCCCCGGCCCCCCCCAACCCCCCCACCACCACCACCAGGAGGCCGCGGCTGGGGGCAGCATCCCGGAGACGGGCACGGGGGAGGCGGCGGTGGGGCGGGGGATGTGGCGAGTCTGGATGGGCAGCTGGGAATGATCTTCCACGAGGGGAACAAGTCTCCGGAAATCTGGCAGCTGCAGGACCCGATGGCCTGGGAGCTCGCCCACGCCCACGGCTTCCCCTCGCCGTCGGCCAAAGGGACGGGCTCGGATCCACGCCCGTTAGTCGCGCACAGCGTCGGAGGTTTCACGGGCAGGACTCCCTCGTATCTTCAGTCGTACCCTCCAACACTCCACTTCCTCGATCATCAGCAGTACGTCTACGTCAGAAAGTGCTACAGCCCAGGTGTCCCCACCAGCCCAGCAGCCCCAGAGACTCCGTGCCAACCGGTCGCACCGCTTCCGAAACCCTCCGGCACAGACGGGAAGGACAGCCAGGTTTCCGTACGTAGCCAGGTTCCCGATCAATTAGCCCCCACCTCCCCACCGGTTGTGGTGTTTTCTTTTCTTAACGGGATTCCTTATCGGCAACAGCAACAACAAATTACCCGTGTGTCGCGCCTTTCACGTCGGGAGGACGTGCCGAGGCTCTTCAAAAGGAAGAACGATCGCTGTGTCGTTCCAGTCCTCAAGAGATCTCTCCCAACCGCCCACCCAAATAAAATCCCCCCCCCCTCACCCCATCTGTAAATTTTCCTAGAGAAACGCCTCTGTTTACCCAGCAGTGAGTAGGAAGGCCAGTGGTTTGTCGATTGGCCGATGGCTTTTCCAAGGGGTAACAATCCCTTAATTATTACCAATTTGCTGCGAGTGGTAGTGGTGGCGGCGGTGGTGGTGGCGGTGGTGGTGGAGACAGCGAGGTGTTGGCTGGGGTTTTCGGGTTCGGGTTACAACGCTGACGTAACTCTCTTGTCAACAGTTGTTAGATCTCAGCCCCAAAGGCCACGTCACTGAAACCCTGACGTCCAAAGCCGAGCCGTGTCTCCTGTCTCCCATCACCGAGGGTAAGCGGTCGCCGGAGATGCTTTGCCAACTGACTTCGCGCTCCTTACTATGTGCTTACAGCGGAGTTAATGGTCACTGCGCTCGCCTTGCAAGGCGAGAGGACCCGGGTTCGATTCCCGGGCAGGGTCAGGGTGAAATGTTAGGCAAGATTCCTTATCCCCCCACCACCCCCCCCCACCACACACGCCTCTGTTTACTCAGCAGCGAGTAGGAACCCGGTTGTTAGTCGATTGTCGGATCGCTTTTCCGGGGGTAATACTCCCTGGAAAATAAAAACAAATTGGTCACTCGATCCACGACTGTTTGGGGTGGTGGGGAGTGGGGGGGGGGGGGGGAGAGACGTCGCTGGGCCCAACTGGCTGCCGCGTTTCGCCCACAAAACACAAAAGTCACTGCACTTTACAGTAAATCCTGTGAAGCGCTTTGAGACGTCTCGACGACGTGATCAGGCGCCGGGTCGAACGCGAGGATTGTTATTATTATTATTATTAATAAGAATAATTAATCAGTATTTTTTTCGCTGGGGGTGTTGGGGGGGGGGTGCAGAGTTCAAAACTTTCCAGCTGCCGCCCTCCCCCCAGCCCGTGATGGTCGGACGCTTTGAGGTGTTGAAGGCTGCGGACCCTGTGTCTGGCGTTTCGGGGACCCCGGGAGAGACCGGGGCCCGACCGGCCCCAACTGTCACGAGCGACTCCCACAACCAGGGGGCCGGGGGGACTGTCTCTGGGGGTCCGGCGGTGGAGGACAAAGCCGCCTGCTATAGGCCGTCGGACTCTGGCGGGGAGGGCTGCCCCCCCTCGGCCCCCCAGCAGGCCTGGCCCCAGGGCCCCCGGCCCTCCATCTACGTCAGCAGCGACGACTCGGAGAGCGACAACGATGAGATCTTTGAGGAGCTGCAGAGCCTGAGAGAGAAGTAAGTCACAGAGCTGTGCGTGTGTGCGCGTGTGCGCGCACGTGCGTTTTTGCGCGTGTGCGCGTGTGTGCGCACGTGCGTTTTTGCGTGTGTGCGCGCGTGTGAGCAGCCTGCGCCATCGGCCTCCGTGGGCCACGGCAAAAATATTCGTCAGGCTCGAAGGGACGCTGCCCTGCGTGAGGGGGTAGGGGGGTGGTGGGGCCGCTGTCGTTGTTATGACGCTGGGTGGTGGTGCCATAGAAGCATAAGTTCTTCTCTATCCCTCGCTATCCTTCTCTATCCCCCCCCCTCCCCGCCACCGGCAGGCACATGGCGGAGGTGCAGAAGCTGCAGGCCGTGCAGAAGAAGGAGATCGAGGAGCTGTACGAGAAGATGGGGAAGGTGCCCCCGGTGGGCATCGTCTCGCCAGCCGCCATGCTGTCCGGGAGGCAGAGACGTCTCTCCAAGGGCAACTTCAACCAATCTCGACGCAACAGTTTACAGCGACTCGAACCTTTACAAACAACGGGTACTCCTCCTTTATTGATCCGCCCTCTTCCCCCCCCACCACCCCCACCCCACAACACCCCCATTACTTCCTCCTCCCTCTCCCCATTTACCTCCGGCCCCTTCCATCATCCTCCTTCCTCCCCACCCCCACACCACCCCACCCCCAACTTTCTGTCCTTCTTCCCCACCCCACCCCTCCTCTTGCCCAGTTTGCCTAAACGCACACAGTCGATGGTAAACAGCGCGAAGTGCTTTGAGACATCATCTTGATATGAAGTGAGGTATCATGCGGATGATGATTATTAGTACTGTTAATTATTACCGTTATTACTATTATTACCATTATTCCTATTATTATTACCATTATTTCTAATATTATTACCATTATTACTATTATTGCCATTATTGCTGTTATTGCTATTATTTTTACTATTGTCGTTATTCCTATTATTACCATTGTTGTTGTTATTCCTATTATTACCATTACTATTGCTGTTGTTGTTACTGTCCCAGTGCCGGCTGTCACTAAGGGCTCCCCCCCCCCCCTCTCCTGTGTTGAAATACCCGCAGGGTTTCGAAGGAACTCGCTGAGCGGCACCAATGGACCCTTAGACCCCCGTCAGACACAGCTGACTGTGGCCAACTTCCTTTGTTGAAGGGGAGGGGAGAGAGAGAGAGGAGGAGGGAGGAGAGCGGAGAGGAGGAAGAGGAGGAGGGAGGAGGAGGAAAGTGGACGGGAACCGGCTGATCTCCGGAGACCCGCACGGCAAAATCGGCGCGATCCCGGACCGGGCAGGAGAGGGCAGGGAGGGCAGCGAGCGCCCCAGAGCCGGCCTTCAACCGCACCGGAGAGGAACGGCGGGACGGGCGACGACGCGAGGAGCGAGGGGCCGACCGACGCCCGGCTGGGAGTGCGGGGAAGACACGGCTGTTTCCGTGGCACACGCGCGTAGATTGCGGTACACGTGTACAGGCAGCGCTCCGGCTGGCGTGAGGGGCGCTCTGCAAATGCAAGCTGTTGTCAATGTCGTTCTTGCGTGTCGGGAGTACGCGTGTGTGTGTGTGTGTGTGTGTGTGTACACGTGAGTATTGGGGAGACTGCAGCGTGTACCGTACGCACACGTGTGTACACTGGCTTTTCCACTCTGCCGTTGGTGGAGGGAAAAAATCCCTTACGGAAGGATGAACGGAAGGTCCCTTTCCCGCTGGGAGATCGCCAACAGCAACTTGCCTGGTCCGCGTTCAGAAGGAATCCTTCGAGGAGAAATCACGGTACGATCCAAAGGTTATAAGGCAGTCGGGGCGAGCGAGCGAGCGAGGGAGGGAGGGACGGAGGGGGGGAACGAGAGAAGGAGGGAAGGAGGCAGGGATGCGGGGAGAGATGAAGAATTTATTATGGAGTGTAACAAGGTGTGTTCAAAACCTTATTTGATTTGAAGGCGCCGTGTCTCGGGCAATCAATTCGCCCACGAACTATGCACACGGTCGATCCACTTCACAGTACATTTCAGACCTCTCGACGACGTGATCAGGCGTCGCGTCAAACCCAAGGATTATTGTTGTCGTTAATACGATAAAAGCCTCACCGAAAGCCTTATAACTCTGCCCACGAGCTGCCGATTCGTTAAAGGAGGTTCACGCAGATGTGAACGCCGTGCAATAGCGCTGTAACCACGTGTCGCTGTCCATCTCCTGTTCGCCGGAACCCGTCAAGAGGATCGGACGTCGAATCCGTACTTAACGGGACATGTTTTTCGAACCAAACCTTCGTCTCTCCCGTTCTCCGCTTCGGAGCGGGCAACGCCATTTAGAATCGATGGAAATATTAATTTACGCTCGGACCTACCCGCAACCCGGAAAGCCTGAATCGAACGACGCCGGCGGTCAATGAAGGCGCGAGCGCGTGTGGGTACATGTAGACGTACATGTGGGTACATGCGGAGATGTTGGGAGTACGTGCGTGTAGTGGGGTACGTGTGCAATGGTGTGTGTGTGTGTGCGCGTACGCATGGGTATTGGGAAGACTAGTGTGTACACACGTGCACACACCCTCTTGAAGGTGACTTAATAGGACGGTGCGATGACAGCACGACTTATTGTGTACCAGGTTTACCCACCGAACGTCAACGTCAACAACAGATATTTAAGTGTAATTAGTATTAAAATCCGCCTTTGAGATTGTTTTGGGGGGGGATTCACGAGCTGATGTTCTCCCGTGGTGACTTGGGGCCTTTTGTGGGGGGGGGGGGGGTGGTTGGTGAATAAGAGAATAACTGAGTGCAAACAATGTTCAACCAGAGGCGTATGAGCAAGTTTCCTTACTCCGCACACACGCGCGCCTCGGTTTACCTAAGCAGTATAAGTAGAACCCGGTTGTCAGTCGATTGGCGGATCGCTTCTCAGGGGGTAACCATCCCTTTGAATAAATAAACGAACAAATAAATAATAATAATAATGATTTGGTCACTCAATCCACGACGGTTTGCGGGACGCCGCTGCAAAATACGGTCGATTCACTCCGCAGTATATCCCGCCGAGCGCTTCGAGACGTCCGGAAGCCGCGACGAGGCGCCGTATCAAACGCCGGCGTTATTATGACTGCACGAGGTCGAAACAGAGGAGTGTTGTGTCCGCGGAGTCAAGTGGGGACGTAATAATTGCGCTGACACAGATCACGAATGCAGTCCACCTGAGCAAAGAGGTTCAGGAGGGGTCCACGATGGGTCACGATGTTCATCGAACGCGGGTGAATGTGCGACAGTCTGTTGAACTTATTTAGGGTCTAAAATGCGGGCTGGGCTATTAGCCCGTGGGCTAACAGTCCGAATGCACACAGGAGCCACCAATTGCGGGTGACTTTTAACCCCTTTCATTGGACATCTGAAGAGTTTTTTTTTAACCCAACTCGCATTCCGGGCCTCATTTTTGCATAAAAAACATTTCTCCGCACCTCTCACGGCAGCAAATAGGAAACCCGGTTTAGTCGATCGGTGGATCGCTTTCCAGGGGGTAATAATCCCTCCCCCCCAAAAAAAAGGGAACGGTTCGGGCGCTCAATCCACGACTGTTTGCGTGGGGGGGACGCCGGCGCCGCGCGCAATCGGCTGCCGCGTTTCGCCCGTGAAACACACGGTCGATGCGCTTTACAGCGTACCCCGTGAAGCGCTTTGAGGCGTCTCAACGACGCGATGAGGCGCTGTATCTTAACGCGAGGATTATTATTGTCATAAATTACTTTGCGACCGGATTCGTGCCTTATCCTTGCGTTCGTCTTAAAATACTTTGGCGAGGAGGGTTCCCCCACCTCCCGACCCCGACCCCCCCACCCCACCCCACCCTCACAAACCCCTCCCCACGAGCTGAATCCTCTCTCATACGTCTAAACTCGTCTCAAAAAAAAAGCTTAAAACTTTTGTGGGGGTAAATTTGAAGATCGAACGCGATTTTTTTTTTTTTTTTGCAGAATTTTATTTTTAAATTATTAGCTCGGAAAGACATTTGGTAAATCGTCCCCCCACCCCCAAAAAAAAAAAAACTACTACACTTTGCCTTGAATTCGCAAACCGAAATATAAAAGGGACTGTTTTTGCTGTTTTCCGAATCTCGCGAAGGGGCGAAGGTGCGAAAGGATATTTGGTTTTCTTTGGTTCTTTGATATTTGGTTTTCTTTTGCGCACTTCCTTCGCTGTGAGAAACGACTTCGGTGAAACGCCTGAAATAAAAGATTGCTTTTTTTTTTGCATGAAAAAAAACTCCCGCCTCGAAAATGTTTCACCTCTTTTGATTTCCTGCCCTTTCTCTCCCGAAAGCTGCTTTTTTTCCCAAAAGGGCCTTTATTCGCCCACAAACACATACGGTCGGGTCCCCTTTACAGTGAGTCCCGCGAAGCCCTTTGAGACGTCTCGAAGACGGGTTAAGGCGCGGCATTCAATGGAAGGGTTATTATTATTATTATTATTATTATACACTCTCACACACACGCTCACACTCTCTCTCACACGCTCACACTCTCACACACACTCTATTTCTCACACGCAGCCTGTCACGTACACACACACACACGCACACATCTCTCACGCTCTCGTCCTCTCTTTCTCACCCACTCGCTCTCATTGTGGAGTCTTGTAGCTCAGTGGTTAGAGCACTCGCTTTGCAAGTGAGAGACCTGAGTTCAATTCCAGGCAGAGGGTGAAACCTCGGGCAAGTTTCCTTACTCCACACAGAGCCTAATAATAATCCTCCAAAACCAAAAACAATAATAAATTGGTCATTTTCAATCTCCGACTGTTTGTGGGACATTGCTGTGCGCAATTGGCTGCCGCGTTCGCCCACAAATATACAGTCAATTCACTTCACAGTGTGTTCTGTGAAGCGCTTTGGGACGTCCTCCCGACGTGAAAAGCGCTATATCAAATGCAAGGATTATTATTATTATTATTTGTTAGGAGATAATATCTGGGGATACTGGCGGACTGGACGGACCTTGGTCCTCTCCTGCCAGCAAATTCTTACGTTCCTACGCGTAAGCACGTCAAACAAGATAGGTTTTTTTTAACGAAGAACCCCTTTCGTCCCATCCCATCTCATCCCTCCCAACGCTCCTCCCCTTCCCTCCGGTATCAGAGACCCGCGCGCGCGCGCGCACCCGTTACACACGCACGCAAACGCGCCCCATAAATACGCACACCACGAAGCCCGAAAAATACATAACTTTCGGTTTTTATGTCAGATGTTCAGCATCGGAATCATCGCAAAATCCGGTTAACAGCGGCAAAGACAGCGAATACTTTCCCCAAATCCGGCGTCTTCCTCCGAGAATGGAATGCTTTCGACCGCACGCGCTATGGTCAGGCAGGTTCTCCCCCTCCCCACCCCCCACCCTCACCCCCCACCCTCACCCCCCCGCCCTGGTTTGGTTGCTGTTTAACCGCTGGGGCTGGCTCTCGCTCGCGCCACCTTCGCTTCCTCCTCCAGTTTGTCCAGAAACCGTTCCTGCGACACGGCGTAGAACGTGTATCCGTCTGCGAGGATCGTTAAGGAGGTCTCAGTCGGGTGGTTTCTCTCTCTCTCTCTCTCTCTCTCTCTCTGGCTGGTGTCGGGCTTACGGGAACCGGGGCGCAAACCCTTAACTGTCCTGGGGGGGGGGGGGGCTGTGTGTGCGTGTGTGTAGGGGGAACGTATGTGTACTGTGGTGGTGGGGGTGTGTTGGGGAGTCTGTGTATGCGCGGGGGGGTGGGGGGGGGCTGTGTGTGTGTGTGTGCAGGGGAGAGGGCTGTGTGTGTGTATGTAGGGGGGAACGTATGTGTGTGTGTGTAGGGGGGGGGCGTGTTGGGGAATCTGTGTATTCGTGGGGGGGGTTGTTTGGTGTGTGTGTGTGGGGGGGGGGTGTGTGTGTGAGGGGGGGGGGTGTGTGTGTGTGTGTGGGTGTGTGTGAGGGTGTGTGTGTGTGTGTGTTGGGGGGGGTGAGGGGGGTTTGGGGGCTGTGATCCCCAGTGTCACACTCAGGAAATCGCAAGTCATGGTTCCCAAACGCAGACCCGGATCAGGACACATCCCCCACACCCCTACACACACACCCCCCCCACAACACACACACCACGCACACACACCCCACACCTCCCCCACACCCCCCCCACCACCCCCACACCCCCCCACACACACACACACCCCACACATATACACAATCCCCCACCCCCACAAACCCCCACACACACGCGCGCGCAGTCCCTGGCTGGCTATGTGAGGGTGTGTGTGGGTGTGTGTGAGGGTCTGTGTGTGGGTGTATGTGAGGGTGTGTGTGGATGTGTGTGAGGGTGTGTGTGAGGGTGTGTGTGTGTGAGGGGGTGTGTGAGGGTGTGTGTGTGGGTGTGTGTGAGGGTGTGTGTGTGAGGGTGTGTGTGGGTGTGTGTGAGGGGGTGTGTGAGGGGGTGTGTGTGAGGGTGTGTGTGTGTGTGTGTGGGTGTGTGTGTGTGTGTGGGTGTGTGTGAGTGTGGTCTGTGTGTGTGGGTGGGGTGTGTGTGTGTGAGGGTGTGTGTGAGGGGGTGTGGGGGGGTGTGTGAGGGTGTGTGTGAGGGTGTGTGAGGGGTGTGTGAGGGTGTGTGTGGGGGTGTGTGAGGGTGTGTGTGTGTGTGTGAGGGGTGTGTGAGGGTGAGGGTGTGTTGTGTGTGTGTGAGTGTGAGGGTGTGTGTGAGGGGGAGTGTGAGGGTGTGTGTGAGGTGTGTGTGAGGGTGTGTGTGAGGGGGTGTGTGTGAGGGGTGTGGGTGTGTGTGTGGGTGTGTGTGAGGCTGTGTGTGAGGGTGTGTGGAGGGGTGTGGTGTGAGGGTGTGTGTGGTGTGTGTGTGGGTGTGTGTGAGGGGGTGTGTGAGGGGGTGTGTGTGTGAGGGTGTGTGGTGTGTGTGTGTGTGTGGGTGTGTGTGAGGGGGTGTGTGTGAGGGGTGTGTGAGGGTGTGTGTGTGGTGTGTGTGTGGGTGTGTGTGAGGGGTGTGTGTGAGGGTGTGTGTGAGGGTGTGTTGAGGGGTGTGTGTGAGGGGTGTGTGAGGGGTGTGTGTGTGTGTGTGTGTGAGGGGTGTGTGAGGTGTGTGTGAGTGTGTGTGTGAGGTGTGTGTGAGGGTGTGTGAGGGTGTGTGTGTGTGTGTGTGTGTTGAGGGGGTGTGTGTGTGAGGGGGTGTGTGGGTGTGTGTGTGTGTGGTGTGTGTGAGGGGGTGTGTGAGGGGTGTGTGTGAGGGTGTGTGTGAGGGTGTGTGTGAGGGGGTGTGTGAGGGTGTGTGTGAGGGGGTGTGTGAGGGGGTGTGTGTGAGGGTGTGTGTGAGGTGTGTGTGAGGGGGTGTGTGAGGGTGTGTGTGAGGGGGTGTGTGTGGGTGTGTGTGTGTGAGGGTGTGTGTGGGGTGTGTGTGAGGGGTGTGTGAGGGGGTGTGTGAGGGGGTGTGTGTGTGTGTGTGTGTGAGGGTGTGGTGTGGAGGGTGTGTGTGAGGGGTGTGTGTGGGTGTGTGTGAGGGTGTGTGTGAGGGGGTGTGTGAGGGTGTGTGTGAGGGGGTGTGTGAGGGGGTGTGTGTGGGAGAGGATACAGATGCCGAGGACGATGGCCCCGATGGCGATGCCGGTGATCAGGTTCCTGGTGCGGCGCTGCGGGAGGTTCCGGGTCCACAGCGCTGTCTCGGCGCTGCGCACAGACCGGAGCTGTTCGGGGCTCAGGGTCTGGGGGTCGAGGCGCCGCGCAACGTCCGGTCGGGGTCCGGGTCCCTCGGCCATAGCTCAGGACAACACCACCACCACCAGAAGGCACAGCTCTGACCTTGTGGGGTGTGG